GTAAAACAGTAGGTGCCTTATATTCTCTCTCTTATTTATCTTATCATTATTAGTTTCACCATTATTTTTATTTTGTTTTTGACCTTTTTTGATCTTCCTAATGAATTTTATAGGATAGTTATCTAACACCAACCAGCCATTCTTCTTTGTTTTATTTCATCGTCTAGGTTTTTAGTTGTACTACTTAGTGCTATGTATATAAATGAAGCAAGAAAGTTGTGTGAATGAGTGCCTTGATATGATTATGAGTGGCAGTAATTTGTGCTCGAAACGTGGTCACCAGTTAATGTTATTTACTGTATAACACACTGTGTGACAGTTTATCAAAATAAAATCTTATCTTTAATGGAGTTATACTCTACCACCACAGTGCTCAAGGTTAACACTTATATGGAAATAAACAACAACAAGTATAGTGGACTACGAAGAAATCTACTACAAGGGGGGGGGGGTGCTGAATGTAGAAGATACCTGACTGAATGATTGAATGAATGAATTTCAACATAGAATTTTAGCACAAAAGTGCAGCAGTTCAACTCCATTATGGATAAGATTTTATTTTGATAAATCACACAGTGTTGTACATTAATATTAACTGATGACGTTTCGAGCACGAACTATTGCTAATAATTATATCAAGTTTATACTTATATCAATATTGCAGCAGTTCAAGTTGCCACACTCGATTTATCCCCCACACAAACAGGTTGATAAAGAAAGTCAAAAGAATAATAATGAGCAGAAATGTTTACGAGAAACAATAGTAACATGGGAAAACATAAAGATTTAATGGATATGGGGGTTACAAAGAACGAATGCATCTGTTCCTATGACAGCGGTTTCCAGCTATATCACCAGTAGTGTCCAGCCATTGGCTGCTAGAATCCTGTGGACCTCAACAAGGCAGTCTGTGTCTCCCAACATCGTTGTATCCAACCAACTGTCAAAGACATAATGGACTGATGTGAGATTTCGACTTGACAGCTTCAAATTCCTCTCCAACCTAACCTTTATGGCAGAGAACGTTGCTCACCGATGAAGGCGGTGACTTGACATGTGTAACACGTGTCCTAGCCATATCGATTAGCTTCGTTTCCCTACCTAACACTCTACAGTTCACCATATTACCCCAGTTAACATGGGAGATAGGATGAAAACCTCTGTGCTCAAAAACAGCTACCCCTTTCATATCTGTGACCTTCAGTGTCATGTCTTTCATCCACAGAGAAGGACAGAAGATTTCTGTTTTAGTACAACGGGAATAAGTGAAGACAGGCACATAGTGTAATACCACAATCGATACTACTTAAATAGGATTTAAGTAGAGTGAAAACACTAGCAACAACAAAACAACAACAGCTACTACTACTACTACTTCAATTACAGGTGAAATAGAACGAAAAACGACGCAAAACACAACAAATAAAACATGGATTTAATAAAACTAGCTGATTAAGGTTAGTAATTTCGTTTTTTCTCTCTTACATTTTCAATGAATTACTTCAACAAAAAAGAAATAGGCAAAAGAAAAAAAAGTAATTAAGGAAGGAGAAACAGAGGCAGAGAAATAATTACATAAAAGAACATGTCGTTTAAAAAAATAGACACCCGCTTTTACTGTAAAACGAAAAAGAAGTTTTAAGGGTAGGAAGGATTAATTAAGCGGTGAAGACAAATCCGTATATGCCTTATTTTTGTTTGTCCATATGAGCGTGTGTAAGTGTGTGTGTGCTTAAATTCAGTCAAACAAGTGTAGGAAAACTTTTCATTCAAAGGCCTTTAGAAACATTCAGGTTTCATGTCTGTGAAGATCATAGAGATGAGGTGAAGATGAGAATACTGAAAAGAATCTATGAATGACACTGAGATCCGGTGGTGTCAGAGGAAAGGCAAAAAGCGTGAGAAGTGGTTCTTTGCTATTTTTTTAATTCATGGAAAATTCCCATTGTAACATATAGAAAATCGTGAAGAGACTCTTTCCAATATCATTAAAAGAAGGATCTCACAGTCCCTGAGAAGAAAATTCCCTGCTGCATCGTTGACAATAGCCTTTTCCATTCCACTATTACTGTTCAATAACCTGAAGGACAAGACCTCACATTTTACCGGCTCTGTGTGCGTTTATCAATTCACCTGCTCGTGTGGAGCTAGGTATATCGGTCGTTCGACGCGAGTTGTGTCCAAGAGGGTGCAATAACACTACCCTGAGTGGTTACGAAGAGGTGAAAGTGGAGCAATAAGAAGCGCGATCATTGAACATCTGGTCGATAATGATCACCCTATCTCTACAGCCTCCGCCTTTAAAGTCATCTACAAGGCAAAAAGTGATTTGCCCAAATCACTACGTATCCGACTCGTCTGTGCTGCTGAGGCTTTGGCTATCGAAATAGAAAAGCCAGATCTCTGTGTACAGAAATAGTTCGATCAACCCCTTCCCTCCAACTTTCATGGTCTTAATCCTTCTATGCTAAAGTATGGTAATCCCTAATCATATTTTGGCTCTACCATTTTCTTTCATTTTGTCTATTCAATTTGTACACTCTTCCTTTATTACGTCAATTGTTACTATTACTATTCTCACTTTGAACTGTCCCCAGTATTATTTCACTCGTTCCACTTGTCATTCTAAATCAATTCTGTTTTGCAATGTTAAATTTTATGTTATCAAATTTCACACAATATTACGTAACGTTTTTATTTTATTCGATTTGTCTACTAATCCTATAATTGCACACCCCTTCCAAGTTCTATACATCCTATGAATTATTATTCTATATATGACATTAATTGTTTTGCCACTTGAAATTTAACTATGATTATCATCACAAACATTTTAGTTGCATTTCATGCTACTATTATTACTATTTTATGCATTCACACCTATGATTCAATTCCCTCACCGGATATAATTTCTTACAAACCATATATATATGATTGTAGAGCTTGATAATAAATTCATTGTTGAAAAGAGTCTCTTCGCTGAATCACTTGTTTTGATTTTCTAGAAATGGTTCTGTTTATCAACGGCGGCCTGCTTATATCATTGGGCTATCAGAATTTCAATCCATTAATATGCTTAAACTCTTCTGCATTTCTTATCGTTTAAATCATACAATTATATCATCAGATGATCACCACATGAACTCACGGGCATATTTAATTAGCTTCAAGCTGAACGCTGTGTAATTCTCGAAGGAAATGGAGGGAAAATTGTACAGAATTGGCTCTCTCGTCATATACAACAACACTAAATCACGTGATATACTTCAAATTATTATTTTCCATGTAAATCTTGTATGAAGGGGAAATATTTCGGAACTAAGTACGCTGAAGTGCGTCGGTAGCACAGCGGTAGAATGTTCGACGCACTCCTTTACCTCGCTAAAACGGTAATAAGACTGGTAAAGAGGGAAGGCTGGGCATGAGGCTAGCAACCCCATCCCGTAAAATATAAATACCACTGCTACCCAAACTTCAAGCTTCTAGTTAGAAGCCCTATGTTCCACTGGGAACGTTAAGGAATAAAAAAATTATATATCATTATACATATGTACCATCAGCAGAGGTGACAAACAGAAGAGTATGGCGTGTGCTACTGATAAAATTTTCTGAGTAATATATTCTCTGTGTGTGATGTTCTCTGTGAGAATATTGAATAGTGGGGCAACAGATTATTTGATGAAGAGGAGAAATGAAAGATCCTTTTGAAATAACATGAAAAAAACTGGAAAGAATCAGAAGCACAAAGTGGAGATGTGCAAATGGAGGGAGATCTCAGTGTAAGATATCCGTATTTCACCGCAAATGTACATCATTTTCCCAAATAACAATTCCTCTACCAAATACTACTGTGTTATGTATTCGACACAGCTAGCCGAGTAGAAGACTTAACTAGTGAACTAGTCTGTGTGTGTTGTATGTCACATGTATGATATTAGATGGTTCAAGGCAATGGAAAGGGAACCATGGACCTAGGTTTCATCATGTTGGTACTTATCAGCAAGGCGTATCTGGGACCTTCAAGGAACTGATGTCCCCTGCAAGATTAGAACCGGGCGTCATCCAGTACTACAGCCAAAAACTCCAGTAATGAGCCAGTCGAGTCCATAATCGACCATTTTGTAGGAGTATTTAATGAACTCATTAATGACTAGTCACTAGGCTGATAACCAGCGTTCTTTATCTGGTTCTTAGGGTTGCTATTCAAGTATTGGTTGGTTACAGGATTTCATCATGAGCTGAAATCGCCTAGAGAACCGCTGGAAGTACTGGACAGCCGTTTCCTCCGTCCTAGTTTGGGACTTTTCATCAGTACGCACCCACCGGGGTTCGAACTCAGGACCTTCCGGTCACAAGGCTAGCAAGCTGGCAGACCATTGAGTCACTGGGACCCGATCCAATGGCCAGTCCATGAATTCTAACTTCTGCCAATTCACGACATAGCGTGACCATTTCACAATGTCTTCTTCGATGAGTTACTGCCTCATTTTCAACCTGCTCTACTGTACTGGTCATGGCTTCCCACTAGAACCTCAGGTAACTGCCAACCTGAATAGGGCCAGTCACTAGTGAGCATCAGATTATTATTTAGTTCATTAGAACCACTAAAATATTGAAGAATAACCGTCTTTTCCCCGGCTTTTGGAATGTTTCTTGATAGCACGCGTGTCTCAACGAAGTCATGTCGGCTATACATTAGAACGTAGAGATCAGCTTCTTGCGTTTAGACGTCAACAACAAAATCAATTAGGTCGTTACAATAGCTGACCCGCTAGTCAACACTAACACCAAGTCATCGATTATCCCCTTAGTGAGTCGATCCTCTAGATTTCATACTACAGTGTACAGCAGAGAGAAGTTACGGAAGGATAAACAATCATCAAGTACTTTTCATCATACTACAAAAAATTATCTAACAAAATAAAATTTTGACAAAATACTTTCAAAATAAAACTTTGGGGATTTTTCCAAGTAAAAAAGGATCAAATCTAATGACTTACTTTTAATCTTGAGCTTCGAGGTTCCAAACTCTGTCGGAAGAGGTGAGTATGTTGATTGGATAGATATAATATATGCGAAAAGATCTGAAAGAGAAATAAATACAGCAGAATTCATTAGATGAGTTGATTCTTCAGTAGAAGTTGATTTAGAAAAAGAAGCCTTATAAAAAGATTACGTAATAATCACATGGATATTTATACATCTAAAGATGAACTGTACTATAAAAGTGAGGGTGTGTAAAGCTGGTTGGATATTAGAGGGAAAAGAACAAGAAGTTCAGCAAAGACATCTAACATGTTTTGATAAGACGTGTTAGAGAATATCATCCAGCATGGCTGCAAAGAGGAGGCACTGGTTCAATCAGAAGCGCCATTACTAAACACCTCGTCAGCATGCCTGTCACAGCATCTGAACTGAGGTATTATTCAGAGACATTTACAAAGTAAACAAAAATCTACCAAAGGCAGTGTGTGTTTCCGACTTCTTTGTACTGCGGAAGCTCTCGCCATATGTATCGAAAAGCCGGAGCTATGTGTTCAAAAGAAACTAGTCCAGCCTTTACAACTACTGTGGACCTAGTTCGGTTATTTTAAAATTTGTTTCCATGCTCCTCCTGATCACACTTGTAATCCGTTTAGAATAACCATTTTACAATTATATTCTAATCCTGTGTAATTATTTTTTGTCTCTATGCCTCTTGTAACCAATGTATTCACACCTTCTAAATTACATTTCAAGTTGAAAATTTGGATTTCAATTTGTTTCCATGCTCGTTTTGTTCACACCTGTAATTCGTTCTATACCTGCGTAACTTTTATTTCTAAGCCTCTTGTAATTCATATCAAGTTGAAAATAATTATCACCTTTTATTCGCCTTTAAAATTTATTATTTCTCCAGTTATCAAATATTAATTTTGCATACGTTGTAACTGTTTTCTAATCCTAGGCAATCTTGTCTCTAAGCTCCTTGTAATCTATATCTGTACCTTCAAACTTTCATATCAAGTTGAAAATGATTATCTCCTTCGTTACTATGCGGAATTAAATAAATAATAATAATTGTATCCATTTAAACTAATCTATATAAATGCGATTGTACAGCTTTTGAGAATGAAATCGCCGAAAAGATCGCCATCTTTGCTGAACTTCTTGTTCTTTTCCCTCTCATCTTTAAATGCATAAATATAATAATAATTTTTGCTTTATTCCACAAAAACAGTACTAATGATACAGCAAGGAATTTTCAGCATTTCAGTACAATATTGCATCTAATTTACTCAAAACGACAAATAACATTACATAATAATAACAAAACGTTGTTATAGTGGCTATGTAGCAAATTACATTATTCGATAAGGAGAAAAATACGCATAAAGTATAAAGTTGTAGTAATTATATTAATAACAACTAGAATAAAATCGCTAAGTTATAATTAAACGATAGAAAGGGTGACACCATAAAATTACAGAAAGATGACTGATGAAAGGATCGATTCACTTTGCTAATTACATAGTGACTTATATATTTCACGTCTAACAGTGTCTCCATCACATAAAATACGGGCTAAATACGGTATTGTAGAATTTTTGTACTTAGTGGTTCGAGCATATAACTTCTTATATTGACTTCTTGTCCTACCTGATCAGATGCAAGGGGGATAATTGTGAATAAAGGAGGTGCAGAGGGTCTGAAAGTACGGCCTTTGCCCAATTTGTACAGGAATTTATGTGTCTCTCGACTATAGTATTGACGAGCTCACGCAGTGGCAAACCACAAGCCCTACTCACAGCATTTAATACCCTTCGTAATATGACATATTCTTTTTGAGAAGCCCAGGAAGGATTAATGGAGAACAATAGAGTACAATTTTTAAAATACAAAAGTTTAAAAATTGCAGAACTAAAGGTTGGTTGATACCTGAGTGTCTTACATTTTTATGTAGAAGGTAAGATGAAACATTTTCTTAGAGATTGATAAGATGTGGGATAGTCATGAAAGATCAGAGGAAAGAACTGATCCAAGGTATTTAATGCTTGACTTGGTTTCAGTTTCCGTGCCATTTATGCTACAGGCATCATGGGAACTAACTAGTTCATGTATGTCCCGTCGATGCTTGAAAATAAAGTTAACTGCCTGACATTTGGAAGGGTTTAACATAAGACCATTTGACTTAGACCACTTGCTGATGTCCAACAGAAAGCTATTAAGTTTGGAGCTGTCAGACTCGGAAGTGATAGGCAGTGATACAGTCAGATCATCAGCATATCTGACAAAATTGGTTTCGTTTAAATGTGGCAGGTCATGTAAGAAGAAAGAAAAAAGAAAGGGAGAGAGGATGGCACCTTGAGGAATACCGGCTTTTGTAAGCGAGGCAAAAGAAGATTTTCTATTATACACAGTATACTGCATTCTATCAGAAAAAAAGGATTGCAACCAACTCTTAGCCCGGGATCCTGCTTGCGTCAAGGAGAGCTTATTTAATAAAAGGCCCCTAGGTACAGAGTCAAAAGCAGATGTATAGTCTAGGAAAGCACCACGAACATATTTGGCACCTTTGTCTAAACAAGAAACAACATTATGATGTAAGAAAACCGCAGCATCCAAGGTACATCTTCCATGTTCATATGCAAATTGTTTAGGATCATTAGATCAGTTGTGACGTGAAAATTTCGGTTTCTAAATAGAAAATGTGTAGTGAAACTTCACCTCGAGTTTGATCCAGTTCATAAACCAATCAGTCAAAACTTTAAACACAGTAATGCCCAAAATTCTACAATGTTTTATTCTCACACAGTAGTGTGACATGATCCATATTCATGTTGTTCCCCCCCCTGCATAACTCCCATTGATTTGCTTAGTGGATCATAGCGGGACTTCAGTCAGTTGTTCCAACAACGTCCGAATAGTAGATCAGGATTATTGACAGTTTTTAGTGATTATCAGAGCCCACACTTTGCATTGATATATCGCTTACAATATGAAGCGATGCATTAGATCTACGCAAATAGATTTGTCATATGATTTTCGTGTATGCTATCAGTATTATCTTGAATGAAAACGAATCTTCTCTACCCGCCGCCCCCAGGATTTTCGTTAGCCTTCTTATCCAAGTAAAAATTAAATGGAGATAAGAGAAAGATCTCTAAAAACTCTCGTCACTGCATCTCAAAATCTCAAATTTTGAAGGCTAGGGACGATTAGTAGAAGCAAGATATGACACGAAAGCTTTCTGTAATGCCACTACACTGAAAAGGATGAATTCCACCTCCAGTACCACCCATCCTCCAACTGATGTATATGAAAATGCCAGTCTGTCACGTGAGAGTCAATTTTGTAGACAATTAAATTTATTTCTCTATTTTCAAAGCCAATAAAATTTGACGTTTTTATTGCTTTTAGTCATTTAGTCAGTTATAAAAAAGGTGTATTATGAATAGTGCATTGTTCTCTTGAGTTGACATTCAGTGTGTGTGTGTTATGTGTGCATTGTTGCAGTTATCAGCTTTATCTGACTATACAGATCATTGGGACAATATATAGCCGAAGACAGCACCATCAAGAAAAACAAGATACTCAACAGACATATTACAGTAATTATTTAACTGTGCGTAGTTAGTTAGTTAGTTGGTTAGTTAGTTAGTTAGTTAGCTGGTTAGTTAGTTAGTTAGTTAGTTAGTTAGTTAGTTAGCTGGTTAGTTAGTTAGTTAGTTAGTTAGTTAGTTAGTTAGTTGGTTAGTTAGTTAGTTAGTTAGTTAGTTAGTTAGTTAGTTAGTTAGTTAGTTAGTTAGTTAGTTAGTTAGTTAGTTAGTTAGTTAGTTAGTTAGTTAGTTAGTTAGTTGGTTAGTTAGTTAGTCAGTTAGTTAGTTAGTTAGTCACCTAAGGAGACTCTAACTGAGGGGATTGTTTGGGTAAAGACATTTCGTGATCAGGTAATTTGAATTCAGGCGAATTTACGCAAACTCATTGTTGACTTCTGACTGACTTGAAGACAATGTTGCCTACATCTTGGGGTCTCGGGGTCGATCCCTGGTTGAGTCATGTGCATGTACTGGTGAAGAGTTGTAAAATGGGCCGAAATATATGTCCAGCACCCCCGGGTTCTCTTACCAATGCGTCAGTTCGTGATCACAACAAAAACATGAATCCACCTCAGCATTTGTAATAGAACGTAATATTGTTTATTTGGAGCTACCCGCTGGGGAATACGAAACATAATACCGTTACTTAACAGCATGTATAGTGTCACACTTTGATCTGGTCACCTCTGACTGTCATCTACTCTAATCCCACCTCAGCCAGCATAATTCATCAAGCAAAACGGTGCTTGGGTATGTTCAACACTTGTTTTGGTCACCTTACTCTGTAAAGGTTCATTGAAAACCGCCGAAAATGCTCTCTTCTTCTCCACGCAATGTCCATATCTCACAACTATAGAGTAGGATACATGATTCCCGCTGATGGATAGACGAATATGTTGTCAGTTGATGAAAGTCACAGAATATCAAGCCTATCGTTTGTGTATGTTCTAAAGTTATTTTATTAGTCATTTCATTGTGTTGTGTGATGCAGCCAACTTCGTTATCTTTGAGACTTGGAGTTTATTCAGACGAGTCCTACAGCATCACTACATATTTGCAAATGGCGAATTGTATGTCAGAAACACCCAGAATTTTGTTTGGGGCACCTAAAAGACTAAATTGTTTGGAATAATCTAAGCCAATTCAGACAGATTAAACTCTGTCACAGGATACCCATAACAATATTCAATATAAGAATGGAGACAGGGGGTATCACTGACGAACATTTCAGGAGACTAATCGTCATAAATTCTTACAAATGGGTTTGCAAATACACTGCTTTAATTTGAGTATTATATATTTTTCTGTCTTGGTAGTCACTTCATCACAGAAGACAAACAGAAATATATTCTTCTCGACCACTTGATAATCTACTACTTTTGAAGTAATCAGACTAAAATTCAACCTATTCTTCTCTGCTTAATTTTTCTATGACTTACTGAAAAGGAGCAAAAATATAGGAATTAAAGGTTTTTTTCGTTGCACGTGAGGTACTTCTAATGCCA